TTTTTTTTTTAATTCTGCTTTATATATTTGTTTTCCCAGTGATCACAGGGAAATTTTAAGAGTACAGAAAGTTGTTCTTATTGGTTATGCAAATTGGTCCTGCAAACTTGTACCAACAGCCATTCCCATATTGCCATGGTTGCATCCTTACCACAGTTTGACCTTTCATTTCATCACTAAAATATCCTATTCCAGCATAACATTCAATTTAGGAAAAAAGCCCCCCAAAAAACAGATTTTATATTCCTTTCAAAGGATCAAATGAGGTCACTATGGTCTTTTTCAGGAAATGGGCCGATATTTGCATTGCAATAATGCAATTTACTTACAGGAGGCAAACTTTCTTGACCTGTGTTTTCCTGCTGCCCTCTGCAGAGCTGAAGCACCCCTGTAGGATTAAACATTTTGGACTGCAGCTGCTCTGCTGGCTGCTAAATGCAGAAAAAGCCATTAAGATCACTTGGCCTGACTTTAGCAGAAGAGTGTGCCCAAGCTGGTGTCAGGAAAATCTACAAACACCAGAGATTTATGTCCAAAAAGGAGACAGAGGAGTCTTCAATTTTACTCACATAAAGGGAGAGTCCACCGTAGCACATGCCCACAAACTTTTCTCTCCTGAGGTTTTGGAGGGTGCAGCCTCCTTTTATCCTAAACTCCTAGCCATACATTGCTCCCTTCCTTTCCCCATTGGCTGAGGTACTAGGAAGGTACAGCCTTCCCTAAATGCCTACCACATATTCCCCCCTTGAACCTATTATTTTACCACAAAGTTCAGAAACTCAGGCTTGTCCAGACCAGCTGCCCAGAGTTAGCAGAGACATTAAGCCCCATTTCAAAGCCCCACACCTTCACCCATGAAATTGTTTGTAAAGACATCAGCTTTCCTTTCACTGGGAAGGTACCCAGGTTTCAGGATTGTGCACTGGGTGCTGCAGGCTGGAGGAACTGGGCACATTTCCTGCTCCAGCAGTAACTGGTACTGCTACAGCATTAGTGCCTGCTTTTACTGACCTGGGAAACAACCCAGGTCCAGATCTGTCCTGTTGCCATCTGATGGAAGGAAAGAGGCAACTCCCTTCCTGCATAAAAGAAAACTTCATCTCTTCCTAGGAGGGTTGGAATAAAATGTGTCTCCTGCCCCTGCTAGCTGGGCTGCTGGAGCAGCTCCCCTCTGCCTGCCTGCAGAGGCATCAAAGCAAGTGCACCAGGGCCAGCTTTGTGCTGTGCTGTGGCTCTGAGAAGGGTGCTGTTGTGGACTGGGACCCAGGGAATTGCCACATGGCCTTGCTTGGAGGGGTCCAAGGCTGCAGAGCCAGGCAGGGCAGGGGCAAGGGCAATCTGCTCACCAGCCCATCTTTTGCTGCAGTGCTGCTGCTGTCTTGCTTCACTTTTGGGTTTGTTGCCCCCCTTGTGGCCCTGGTAGCACAGAGTGGCATTCCCATTCACAGTGAGAAGTATTTTCATGTAACAAGGTTTGTTGATAGCAGAGTCTGGACAAAGCCTCACAAAGGTCTTAGAAAAGGCTGGAGCTGTGCTGGCAAAAGATCTGCAGAGCAGAAAAGCACTGAATTTCCAAGCAGCAAAACAGGAGCATGAAACCTCACAGTCCATGAGACAGCAAATGACACCAGCCTGGCTGCTGCTCCCTCTTCTGAGGCCAGGTCAGGCTGGAGCAGCTGCCCAGGAAAACTTTCTCCTGCTGGCTCCTTGCAGAAGGCTGTTTGGAAACAATGGGTAATAGAGGAAGTGTTTTCCCAGACAAGTCCAAATAAATACATGAATGCACTTCCTCTGCTCGTTGTCACAGGGCAGTGAGGGTTTGCTGTGTGGCTGGGATGAATTCATTGTTGTTTTCAAGAGGATGCTCTCAGAGGAAGAGGATAGTGGGACTCCTTGTGGGGGTGTGGGGGTGGCACTTTGGAGAAGAAGTCTGCTTGGAGAGAGTGCTAGAGCTGATATCACCTTGCTGCCATGGTGCAAATTAAGAGCTATTAAATTTCCTGCACTTGGTTGTGTAATTGCACTGCAGGGCCTTTTGAATGCTGCATTTAAATGAGCCCGCAATTGGAAATAATGAAGGTTAAAACCCTCTTACATGCTGATTCTATGATCAAATTAGTTCCTTTGACCCAGAAAACAGCTGTGGTAGCAATGAACTCTGCACTAGGAGTAAGGCTGTAGATGGAGGTGTTATTCAGAGCTAGCTTTAGAAAGGTGCATCCATACAAAGTGACTGAATTTCAAAGTCAAACAGGTCTGGCACACTGGGACAGAGGCTGGGTAGGAACCTGGTGTGAGAGGAAGACCTGCAAACAGAGCAGGGAGGAAGGCAGCTCTGCCAAGAGTCACAGTATCAAAATTAGGTGGCCCCAAGAAGTGAAAGCCATTAGATACTGGGGGCATGATGCATATCTCATCCTGCTTTTACTCATCTTCAATCTCTGTTCATAACTAATACCAGGGAGAGCTTTGGCTAATCCAAAGCAGCATTATTCTATTTTTACACTTAATTTGTAGTTGGTGAGAGGGTTATTAAGACTTTCCCTTAGTTATAGGGACTTAGGGACTCTACTTTTATTGCCTTAAGCTGTTGCTTCAAAGTTGCCTTTAGCTCCAGGACCTCAGCTAACTTCTGCCCTGTCTGTCCAGCCCACAGCTGGCCTTGGACACACTGACTGACCTCTGGGAGTTCAACTTCTCACTCTTCTGCCTGAGCATCAGGTAGGAGCTGGTAAGAATTTTCTTTCTTGCAGTCCTGATGGGAAGTAGTCTGAATGCTGCAGACTGCTATGAGCAGAGCTGTGCTGTCCAAATCTTGCCACGCCCCTTACCTGTCTGGCCAGAGAGAGTCCTTCCCTCTGGCATGGAGCACATCCCGACATGGTGGATGCAGGAGGCTTTGAACTGCAAAGCACATAGCATCTTCACCCTTCCAATCTTCACCCTTCCAGGCTAAGAAGTGGGTGGGTGTAGGAAAACACAATCTAAAGGTTCCTGGCTGCTCTGGGCAGTGAAGCAGCACTGAGCAAGGCTCTGACAGCCTCAACATGGTTGCCTGTTCCAACAGGGAACAAGGCTCTGGGATATATGTGACTGCCAGCTTGTGTATCAGCATCCTTGAGGATGACATCCTGCTGTGTAATCCCAGCACTCCAGGCTCTGTCACATGCAGCGTGCCCCTCTGCTGCTCATGCATGGATGCCACCACCTGCACTGTCCCATTAGTTCTAAGATCCAGCTCTGAATGAGTTCTGGGCTTTCCCCTGTCTCTGCTCCAGTGAATTCACAGACTTTCTTGGCCTTCCTTTCCTTGCACTGTCTTGCCTAAGCCTCCCTTTGCTCCTTGAGAGCCCTCTCCTCTGTGTCTGCAGCTATCTGCAGCCTCTCTGGGTCTCTGTGTTTCATCATCTCCCATTGGGAATTCATCTTGGTCCTCTCACATCTTGCTGATGTTCAGCATCATCTGTGCTCCAGTAGGAGAGACTGTGCTTCCCCTGGGATCCTGCTTCCAAACCCGGCAGGGTGTGTGTGTGTTTGTCGTCTCTGCCCAGCATGGATGCATATTTTTCCTCCAACTGCAGCATTTGCTTGATGATTAGGGAAATGCAGAACACAGTGGAGAGGGTGAAGGCTTCAAAGAAGCTCTAAATCCACTTTGATCTTCACCCCTTTCCCCCACGTTGTGTTGCCATTTACACACAGAGCCCCCGCATTCAGCTTGGGGTGTTTCCTACACCAAAGTCTCTTGGGTTGAAAGCTGACACTGGGCAAGCTATGTAAGCTGAAGTCCTTGATTTGCTTTAGCTGATGGAACAGATTTTCTCTGTCGTCCCTTCTGTTAAACCCCCTGATGAGATTCTGGCATACCATGTGGCCAGGGGACAGCAGGGAGGATTACTGGTAGGACTCACAGAGACATCGGCTCCTGTGGAGAGTGATTAGCAACTCAACATACACTCCTGGCTCCTGAGAGCCTTCGGGAAGCTGATTAGGGCACCGCAGAAATTTATTCCTGTCTGGGAGCAGGGGAGATGAGAGCGGCAGCAGTATCCGAGCGCATGGCCAGGGGACGGGAGCAACGTTTATCAGGCTGTTTGTATCTGCTGGGCTGTCAGTCACAGCTCTAGGAGATGCATTACTGACACCGCTGTGCTTGATGTGAAGAGCTGAAAATCCCCGTCCGAGCATGGCCATAGCCATCAGGCACAGCGTCTCTGCCCACCCCTCACAAGCGCCCGGTGCCTCTCTCGGCAGCGCTTTGCCTTCAGCCCGGGATCTCACAGCCAGCGCCGTACCGCTGAGGGCGCAACAGGGGCGCTCCCAGCTCTGGGAAGAACGGAGCAGCCCGCCGCTCTCCGAGGAGGACTGCCGGCCTCCGGCGTCCCTCACGCACTGGGGACCGGGACGCACGGCTGGGCTGGGCTCGGCTTGAGGGGATCGCTTCAGCTCGGAGGGGCCGAGCTGGGTTCATCTGTGCGGGGCTGGGCTGGACCCGGCTCGGCTCGGTTCATCTGTGCTGGGCTGGACCCGGCTCGGCTCGGTTCATCTGTGCGGGGCTGGGCTGGACCCGGCTCGGCTCGGTTCGCCGGCGGGCGAAAGCGCCCGGACAGCGCCGCCCGGTTGCGGTGTCCCGAGCTGTCCGGCAGGGGGCTCCTCCCGGCGGGCTCCGCCGGCGGCGGCCAGCCCCGCCCCGCCGGCCCCGCCCCTCTTTGTTGCGGCGGCCAATGGGGGCGCGCCGCGGGCGGCCGGTCGCGCGGCAGCGCGCGGCATGGCGCGCGGCGCGGGGCGCGCCCCCTGCGCGGCCGCGGCCGGTACCGGGGCCGGGACGGGGCGCCCGGAGCGAGCGGGCCGGCGTCGCTAGCGAGGGACCGCCCCCGCCCAGCCTCCTCCGCACGCCCGTCACAGCCACACTCGCATACACATAGAGAGCGGCCGGGCGGCGGCGAGGCCGCGGGGCACATCCCGCCAGCGGTCCCGGGCTCGGGCATGGCCGCGGGGCCATGACGGGCGCGGCGGGCGGCGGCGGCGGCGGCCGCGGGAGCAGCCGGCGTGCGGCGGCCGGCAAGGAGGGCGGGCGGTCGCGGAGCGCCCAGCCGCGGGCGGCGGGCGGCGGCGGCGGGAGCGGCGGGGGCTCGGAGGAGGAGGAGCAGGAGCAGCAGCGGGACGGCGGCTCGCCCTTCCTGGTGAACAAGAGCGGCTTCCCCATGGACGGGCAGACCTGGGAGCGGATGTGGGGCCACGTGGAGCGGGTGCACCCCGACGGCGGGGCCGTGGCGGCGGCCATCCGGAGCGCCGCCCGCCTGGCCCGGGTAAGGCGAAGCCGCCGCGCGTCCCCTGGTGCGGGGCAGCGGGTGGCACCGAGCCCGAGCGCGGCGGGCCGGCGGCTGCCGCGTTCTGTGCGCGCCGAGCGGCCGGGCCGGCTCCGCCGCCCGGCGGGACCGTGTGGCAGCGCAGCCCGAGGATGCTCTCGGGGCACCGGCGAGAAGGATGGGGCATCGGCCGTCCGAAAGCGCCCAGAACGGAGTACCGGGGTTGCGGGGTGCTTGGGGGCTGCAGTGCGTGTCCTGGGGAACAAGCAGGAAGAAAATTACTCCTTTTAGCTTGGGGAGAAAAAAGCAGAAAACAAGAGTTAAAAGGAATCTTCAGGGATTGAGTGAAGCACTTTGCGCAATTTAAAGCAGGTTTTTTCTGTTCCTTTTGGAAACAGGCGCTTCCTTAAACACAGCGTTGCTCCTCAAATGTAACAAGGGATTTAAAACGCAGACATTTCTTTTCCAGTATGTGGAAAGATTCCAAATGCTTTTGTCTGGTACGTTCCTCAGTACAAGCCCCAAATAACTCTGCCTCACCCAAGTCTTTTTCCACCAGACAGCAAATAAAATGTTGATGTCTGCTGTTGTTCCAAGGCTTCTCGACACTGCTGCATTACTGATCACAATGTCTTTAACACTCTCTGCTTTGGCAGACTTTGAGCTTGATTCACTCCTCCCATCAAGCAGCATTAATGTGAGCTGACCGCTGAAGTCTGGGTTGGTTCATACCCCTCTGCGTGCTGGGGTGAGATGGCTGGGCTGCTGTTGGCATGGCCCAAGCTGTCGGGGATACTGACACGAACCATATGCCTGTTCTTTTCATGGAGTAGAAAGGAGATTCTGTGCACAGGGAAGTCGAAATCTTATTGTGTAGGGCTGTATTGAGAAGGTGCTTGTCAAATAAGCTGCAGACTGAAAAGGCCTTTCATCTCTCCTCTGCAATGTTCAGTCTAGTGCAGGTGCAAAAGGGATGATCTCTCTCCACTCTGCTCTCCTTGTGCTGGAACCAGCCTTTGTTTGGATGGGGGAGCACGTCCAACTGAAAAATAATCAGGTTATGCTGAGTTTGTGGTTCCTTGGCGTGGTTCATCTTGTACTTACACAAGCACTTGAGGTGGAAATAAAGGGGCAGGGTCTGGGCAGAACTTCTTGTTTCAGCAGCCTGACCAGCTTATGCCAGTCTAGATGACCTGCAAGCCCATTTGGTGTCAAGAGATGGCAAAGCATGCGCTAGACTTGACTTTCATCCTTTACTTGCCAGCTCCAGAGCATGTAACTTTTATTAGTGACACCCGTGGTGACTGACAAAGCATCTGGTGAGAGACATGCCAGTGGCTCCAGTGTGCTGGCCTGCACACTGTATTCCTGTGGGAATGTCCCAGAGAGCGTTGCCCATGGCTTCTTCCTCAGTGCCACAGCTCTGGGCTGTCTCTATGTAGCATGTGCATAAGCTGGGCAGAATAAAAATGTTTTGAAATCTGCCTGGCCAAATCATTTGATGATGTTGATCAGTGCCCAGTGCTGTAGGAGTTGTACTCCTCCAGCACTACCCAGAAGCAAAATCCCTGTTAGAGTGATTAGTTTCTTCAGGGGCTGGAGGACCTGGTGTCCTCTGTGACTAAGTAGCTCTTGCTGGCTAAGTGTGGGACTTCTGTGGGTCAGAGAGTAATTTGAGGACTACCTAGTTCTTATTAGGGCCAACACAGCTCAGGTGAGCAAATGAAGGTTAAGACCTGGGGTTTTTTGCCACAAAGCAGTAGCAGATTACCAAAGCTGTGATAGTGATTTGTGGGTCAGAGTAGGAATGTGAGTGGAGACTTGTTCCTTAAATGGTGGTACAAATTATCTTAATTGGCTTGTGCTGCTGGGTATGTGTCACCCTGCAAAAGACCAGGTGGTATTGTTTGGGAGTGATGAGGGAAACTTGTGCCTGAGAGAAGATGATTTGTAATCTGTTTGCATTGATAGTTGGTTCAGGCTGAGTGAGTGGCATGTGCAACTGCTCCATTTCTGCATCTGATCTGTTATTAATCCCTAGTGATGGGAGAGAGTTTTCATCCCCTCTTCAAGAAGCTCCACTTGATTGCTCTAATCATCTTGGCATTAGTCTCAGCAATCACACGCACAGGGTGGTAAGTAGCTTCTGACTGTGTTTGTGAGGTTGCCCTTGCTGGAACAAATGCAAACTGCAGAAGTGCAGGGCTGCATCTCTCTTGGGAGGCAGAGTCCTTACAAAAAGCTGGCTTGTCTGCAGGGGTAGTTTTGGAATCTGTGGGATCCTCCCCCTCTGTTTGCTTGAGCTCAGGGAATAGTGCAGACTCACAGTTTGGAAGGGCTGTGCAATCCTTTACCTGTTCTGTGATCTTGGAAGTACTTGGAGATCGTAATAAATTAAACCTCTCAGCAGCTTTGAGGACTCATGCCTGTCAGCTTCATCCATGCTGAGTAACAGTGTGTTTGCAGGCGAAGCTGGTAGAAAATGACTTTCTGGTCATTAAGTGAGAAAGTGGAATCGGCCAAAATGAGTTTCACACAGGATGTCAGTGGTGAAGTGAGACTACAGCATTTCCAGCCATGGGATGAGTCTCCAGCTCTGCCACGTGGTCTTGCACTGCAGCGGCTCCACTGTCTGGAGCTGCTGTTCCTTGGAAAGACTGGTACAGGGTCAAGGCTTTTTATCTGACTCGTCCCTGAATTTCACTTGCTTTACAAATTCACGGTCTGTAGTGCTGTGTCTGCATTTCCTCTTGCCATCCATGACCTCTTGCCTGCTCCTTGCTGCTGGATGTATACCAGGAGCTGGAGGGCTGCATCCTCAATCACAAGAAAGCTGTGCTTTCCTTCACTTGTTGTATTGTGCAGCTGTATTTATCAGTCCTGCAGCTGGGTCAGGAATTGGGGAGGGAAGGGAGTGGGAGAGGTGTGTGGCTCCCCGCTGCCTGGCCTGGCTGGCAGCATGGTGTGTGTGCTGCCTGCACTGGAGAGAGGAGAGCAGTGCTGCTCTGTGTGGGCTCAGGCTTATGGACACTCCTCCCTTCTTGCCTGAGACCTGGAGGGGTTTGGGCCTCCTGGCTCAGCAGGCCTGCCGAGGTAACTGGATATGTTCTAGCCAGTAGGAAAACCCTGGTTCTCTTTTCTGGGATATGGCTCTGGTATCTGACACACTCATCCTCCTTGCATAATGTGATCAATTCCCTTGGAATTGGGGAGCACCTCACTTGGAGTCTGAACCTGTCCCCTCTGGTGAGGGGGCCCATTGTGGGTTTCAGGAAGGGCTGTGTCCGTTCACACTGGGGCTGTCCCTATGGGATGCTGTCCTGGGTCCCCCAGCAGGGCGAGGGCTGGGAAAAGGATGGAATCCCCACCTCTGCAGCAGCCAGGCCCCTCGCAGCCTGGGGCTCCCATTGCCTCTGCGTGTTGTGTAAGTGCAATGCATGCACCTAGAGCTTCTGTATCTTTGAAGCAAAGGACTGAGTGTATTGGAGCAGAAATGGCCGCCCCAGGAAGGTGTGACAGCCCTGCCATAATTCCCTTTATTAGCTCCTTGCTGCTTCTGAAACTTGAACCTTATCAGGTGTGTTGAGTCCAGGTCTGCCTTTGTACTGGAAGGGACAGGTGAATAATTCATCCAGCTCAAAGGGGCTGGGTGAGAAAGCAACCTGTGGAACCAAAAAAAGCCTCTAATGAGGAGTTTAGGCATGAAAACTGTGATTAAGAAGCACTAATGAGTGTTGCTCATAACTCCCACTGGTGAGAGGAGAAAGCCCATGTGTGTGCCGGCGTGTAGCACTGGGATGGCAGGGGCGAGCTGGAAGCCTTGCCATCTGCTTGCCACTTACAGTATGCTTCTGTGTGCCAGTAATGTAGGAGTCTCTGGTTTGGTGGATTTTTCCCCCTTCTCCAAGGTGTATTTACTTTTTCACTGTAGTAACTTGCTGCGTGTAGTAAATTCCATGTTTTGTTGCTTTGGGATTACCAGTGCTCACTCTCTGAAAGCAAGCGCAATCTTAACAGAGGTGGGAACTGGAGAGGAAAGTTTTTGTGCCAGAGATGGCCCCATACCACCTGAACTGGCTGTTCTTATCAGTAATTGCTGACTTCAAACGTATTAAAGACAGTGATATGTCACATTATGAGCTTTAAACTACGGTTATGACAATATGGTCCCACAGATGCTTTTCTTTGCACCTTGTCACAGCTGCCCAAATTGCTGGTTCCTGAATTTGAATCTGTATTAATATTCAAATAAACCGCTTCTTCCACTGTGTGAGAATTGTGCTAACTTCTTTTTAGCCATGTTGCCCACTTTAATATCTGCTAACCTCATATTTTGCAGTCTCACCCCTGAAATAAGTGGACTTTGGGACAAGGCTCTGCTTCTTTCCTGTGTAGCTGCAGGCTCAGGAGCCAAATAACTGTGGAGATTAAATGTGGATTGAGGGCCTGCCTTCTTAAAATGCTTAGGCACAAGCAGATGTCTTATGAGATTTTGGGAAAATCCCATTATGTTGCCAGTCTATATCTTTAAGTGTCTTAATGTCATTCAATATTTGGGTCCCAGGTGGTCTTCTAGGTGCTGTGCTCTCCCTCCCCAGCAAGTATGCTGCAGACATATGGCAGATGGGAAATTATGCAGCCTAGGATATCCTTGTCTCCTTTTATCTTGTGGTAAAGGAGGGCAGAAATTAGACTTGAAATGGCTTCCTTGGGAGGGAGAACACCAAAGTCAGTACTGGGGCTCTGCTCATCCAAACTGCCCTGTGCTGGGGAGGGAATGGGAAGCATAGGCTTTCTGTGCTGGACTGCCTGCCTGCATAGGGTGGTATCTGGGGGATGCTGGTGGCTCTGATTGATGATCAGCCTGCCACAGCCTCTCTATGCAGGGAAGGGCTGGCTCTGCTGCTGGGGCAGCCCCTGTGGTCAGCAGGGTGACTTTGCCTGATGCTTGAGTTCACGTGGGGCTTAAGCCATCTGTGCTGCCGCATTGTGTTGCACTGAGCACATGCCACTGCTCAGTAAATCACTTATCTGCTCTGCGGGGAGCCCTGGCTGTCTAACCTCTTTATCTTTTTTTCTTGTGTCCAGCCCTCAGTGCCGCCAGTGCCAAACTACAAGCTCTCCATGTCAATCCCAGAATGGCTCCAGGCAATACAGACCTACATGAAGATGCTGCAGTATCCTTCTTGTGCGTGGTCTCCAGAAAGAAGGCTGACTTGTGCCTGATGTGAATTAACAGAGCTTTACTGAAGCTTTAGCTGGTTGTGAGGGCTTGGGATCATTTGGGGGTAAAGAGACGCCTCCAGGGATTTGTGATAGCAGCAGCAGCTTGTCATAGCAGTCCTCTGGGAGATGTAATTATCTTTAAATTATACTGAAAAATTTAACTGAAGTGACATTGGTGGGAATAGAAGTACTTATTTTGAAGTTGATGTATGAGGATATTATGATCAGCTCATGATGCCTGGAGAAATAATATGGCATCTCGTCATAAAGTGACTGAGAGAGAGCCAGTGTTGTGGCAAGCCCTTTCTCCCTCTGCCTTGACAGCCCCTGTGGGTTCTCTGAGGATTGCTCAGTGCTTGTCACTGGGGTGAGCAGGCACGAGCAGCTGTCCTGACCCCAAGGTGGGCAGCCTTGCCTGTGACACAAGAGCTGACCGATGGCATCTCCCTTCCAGATGTTCCACCTTGCTTGGGGGATTCATCAGGGACATCTGTCTAGCCTGCGTGTCACTGCCCCACGCCCAATTCCTGCCTTTCCATTGCTGACAGATAATTTCAGAGAAGGTTACTGGCCTGGATGCTGCTCTTGTGTTTCCCTTTTTTCCTAAACTCTGCCTTTTTGTGTTCGTGTGTGTGGGGAAACTGGGGGGGATGAGTGTAAAGCACTGCTAAGGATTAAGAAAGGACATGGGAGGCAGCTGGAAGAACATGCAGGAATAGCAGGCATGGTTGGCTCGGTGGGGAGCTGTGGCTGGGATCAAGGAGGCAGCTGGGCCCAGAGCTGCAGCAGCTGCTGTGGGGAGGGAGGCAGGGGCCTGCCTGCTCTGCATTTCTCTTCTTTATGGCAGCCACTTGGCCAGGACAAGAGGCTTCATGCTTGCTGAGATTGTGCCAGAGAGGATACCATGTCAGACAGAGCTCCAAAAATTACATTATCCCCCACCTCACCCTGTAGCGGTTTTGAAATCCTGCATTCTGCTGCAGAGCAGACCTTAGGTTTGGATGTGTATTCGAAAAAGCTTCAAAGTGGGCTGGGGAGCAGTGTCTGGGCTTCCTTTGAGGGCTGAAAGAGGATGTATGCTTTGTGCAGAGCACCCTGAAAGGGCCTCATGAGTTAGTTTTGAAGGCAGGAGGGAAGTAAAGCCTTGTTTGTGGAGAACTCTGAACTCTAATTGAAGTCAGTTCAGAGCATCCTGGTGAGAACTGGAGTTTTTATTTAGGCTATGGTTATACATCCAGCAGCTGTTTTATTTATGCCTTGCAAGCAACTCTTAGCTTCCATGGGGTCACCTGCTTGTGCCCGGGTATCTGCCTTGGTATCACCAGTTTTACTGACATGAATATTCTGATGGGAATAGAATTTGGATACTAGGTTAGGAAAGAGATTCAACTGGAAAAGTAAACTATCAAAACTAAAGGCAGTGTGATTTTTATTTTTATTTTTTTTTTTTACAAAATTTAATTGGGTTTTTTGTTTTATTTTTGTTTTCATTGAACAGATTGTTTTCCTGGTCTGATTTACTGTGTTGCTGCTTGAACAGAAATGCTCAAGGAACAAGGAATAGGCTGCTTCTGGTGATGCTGCTGTTTGGCAGCCTGTTCTAGGCAAGTGATGCTGAGATTTGGTTGACTGTCTGCTGGTCTTATTTGTGATGAACTTTTCTACTATTAGTGTTTGCTAATGACCTTGACTTGCACATAGCTGGTTGTTTTCATTTTGAGAACATATTTTTTAGAGAATGGCTTATATTTTCTGAGTGTGAATGGATGCACCTGCAGTGGTTTTGGTTGACAGGTCACAGGTGAGTCATGATGCTGATGGAGTTAAAAAACTTTGAAAGGAAATAAAGTTTTTTCAGACCATGGATTATTGATTGGTTTGGGTAGGCTATGCAAGCTTTCTCTTACTCATGTGTGAGACTTTTGTTCAAACTTGCAATCTATAGTGAGCCACACCTAGTGGAAAAGAGAATTTATAGCCTTCAAATGCTGAACTTGAGTGTCATTTTAGATGGTCAACCTTAATACATTACTCTGCACTTAGTGCTGATAATAGGTCATATAAAAAGACAAGTGAAAAGTTTTGCTTTATTTCACATGCCACGTATTTAATATCTGAGAGTCAATGGCTTTTACTGCCTGTTTTGTATTTCCACAGGAACTCAGAACTGGAATTCACCTTTTCAGCAGTGTTATTTTATTGCTTGACTGTTCAAGTTACTTTCCTTTAACAGACAAAATACAGATACAATCACACGGGAACACAGTTCTTCGAGATCAGAAAAACCAGACCTCTGAGTGGGTAAGTGTCCCTGGAATTGTTCTTGTGCCCCTGTCCCTGATCACCTGGCATTCAAGCCCTGCAGCACCATGGCATGGGAGGGCTGTGTCCTCTGTGCCACAGCTGCCTCTGTTGCTGCCTTTGTGAAGAGTGTCCCAGCTTGCTGTGGGGTTGCAAAAGGACCATCAGGACCAACGAGTGGAAGGGCAGTTCTTGCTCAGCAGCTGTGTGGGAGCTGCTTGGCTGCAGGCCAGAGCTGCATGCACAGGGGTGGGAAAACTCTCTGCTTATTGGTGTTACTCTGGGAGGACTGGGCTGCTTTTCTGAAAACTGAGTAAGTCCTGATATTCTGGTTGTGCTGAAATGCTCTTTGCAGATGGTAGGAAGGGATTAGCTGTGTGAAATGAAGCAGGAGTTCTGACATCCTGGGCACAGTAGTTTTCCCTGGAGGCTCACAATGGACTGTTTGAAGTCATGTCCGTGCTTCTGCCTTGCTGCTCATCTTGCTGTTCCATCCATGTGGTGGGCTTGTGCTGGTTGGTGATGAGTTGTGCAGTGCAAGTGTGAACATGTGCCCAGGGAACCTGGCAGCAGAGAGCTGGGGTCTCTTGCATGTTAGAACTGCATCATACTAAGGACAGCTCTTTAACAGAACCTAATAAATTAGCAGGAAGGGTGTTAACATTATACTTCTATTTTAGGGTGAAATTTAGATAAGCAGAACGTAATTACTCCCATAGACTGGTCTGTCTCTAGCTCATCCCAGCTCTCTGTCATTAAACCAATGGTCCCTCACCCTAAAATTCCAGTTCCCATCTCAGCTTTGTGCTTCAGGTTTTCATCTTGCTGACAGCAATCTTTCTCACCTCCTTTATCTAATGTTCACTGCTCTGGTGGAACTAGTTTAAAACAAATCTTGTGCCTTGAATGATAGATGGGTTTACAGAAGCTTAAACCAATTTTCAAGCTGCTCACTCATTTTTAAATTTGTGCCATTACTTTTTTCAAAGGAAGTGAAGGATGAAAATGAATTATGCTCAGCACTTACCACTTAAAAGGTCGTTGTTTTCCTGGGCTGGATAAAAGCCTGGCTTACGAGCATGGTGCTCTTTCCTAGAAGGGAGCAGATGCAGTGCTTGCAGCTGGAGATGTGCCTGTGGCTTTGAATCATCCCAGGTGGAGCCATTTCCTCTGTTTATGTGCCTTAGTGTTTGCTTGGGGGCAAGTATCTGACTCCTCTCCTTGTTGCTGCTTGGAACTTCTTGGAGTGGGGTGCCAGGAGTTCTATGGAGTTAAGGATGGTGCCCCTGGAAATGGTCCAACCCCTCAGGGACTGCCAGCTTTCCAGGCTCAGTTGCCTGAACATGGTGTGTGCTGGACTCAAACAGTGTAAATCCTAAGGGCTGTGCTGCTTTGCTCCTGGATTGGGTAGATGGGAGTACTGGGAGGGGTGGAGCTGTCAGGAGCACGTGTTGCTGCCTGGATCCTGCTGTTCTGCTGTAGGGCTCAACATTTTTCTGATCTTGGTTTCTCCAGTTTTGAGAAGGAGAATGGATGCAAAGCTGTCTAAAGTTCCTGTCATTTTTATGAAACCAAAATTCAAGTTTTTATGACAGTTTATGGTTTAGATTTCAGATATTTTAAAATTTACTTGGCCGAGTCAGGAGGATGGGACCCCAGACTATTTTCAGTGGTCCCTAGTGACTAGACAAGGAGCAATGGGCAGAAGCTGGAAGTCCCATCTAAGTATGAGGAAAAAAAGGTTTCCTTTGAGGCTGACAGAGCACTTAAACAGGCTGCCCATAGAGGTTATGGGGTCTCGTCCTGTGGAGATACTCAAAACCTACCTGTGCAACCTGCTCTAAATGAAACTGCTTTAGCAGGAGGGTTGGGCAGATGGTCTTTGGAGGTCCCTTCCAACCCCAGCTTTGGTGATTGTGTGTGAATAATGCATTGAGGTGTGCATGAAAGCTTCCCTTTTCTTCATCTGTCCAGTTTTCATCAAAGCTGAAAAATCACCTACACTTCCAAGTTTTTTTTTCCTGGGAGATGTGTTCTACTTCACAAAAAATCTGCTCCCAGCGTGGCAATGACAGGTGTCTTGTTCTGTGCTGTGAAAGGCCTCACTTGCTGCAGCGCAGCGTTTGCAGGTTGATCGGGCAAGATGCTGAAGGCCTCCAATTGCCACTGGCTCTTGAAAAATGAGGCTGTTCCCAGAGCTTTATTGACACTAAACATATTGCTGATTTCATAATGTGAGGGCTCAAAGCTAGTTCATCTTTGGCAGCCTCTCTTCAAGACAGCAGTGGCTGGACACAAAGAAGCCGAGTACTAGATGGAAATTGAATATTCATAAATTCATGTCAAAATGTCCTAAAGCAGCTGGGGCATATTAATGAGTTTTCCTATTATGGAAGGAGGACTAGATATTGTAGGGATTGACTGCCAGCATCAGTGTGATGTATGAGAAAATAAAAATGTGTGGCTGAGCGTAGGAAGAAGAGCATAAATTATCTATAGGAGCTCATTAAGGGATATAGTCATGCTATAACTCAGTATTTACAATCTCTTTAAGAAAAAGTCACTCTTATTATCAGCTTAACTTTTAGAGTGCTAGACACCACGTGGATTTGCCTAGACTACAGATAGCACTTTTAGAAAGGCTAGATTTCTGGTGGCGTAGCTGTGCAAATCGGGGTGGCAGAGCTGTGAACCTGTAAACTTGGGTGTGCTGTTTTTGTTGTACTGGCAAACTGTGTCTGAAAATGTGCCTGGTTCTCACCTCTTCTGAGTTGGCTGTATTTGCATAAAATCCAAATTTATGGGTGTAGCTACATCCACTGTAGGAGTGCTTTGCTAATACAGGTGTCCTGGGACAGTGCCCTTCACAGGCTTTGTGATGTACCTGTTTGTACTAAATAGGTAAAGGGCACCCTGTGAAAGTTCAGCTCTGCTGATCCATGTGTGTTTGCATGTGATATGAATGTTTCAGACACCAGGAGAACTGGTTTTCTTTTTCCCGTGCACGATTATGCTGGCTAAACCTATATTAGACTTTTGTTGGTACAACCAGTCTGATCAAAAATGGTACTTTTGACTGACATAGTTATTCTTTTTAAAACTTCAGATTTCGATCATGTAAGAGCTTTAGGAAAAAAGTGTATGTCTGAATATCTAGTAAAATCTGTAACTGTGAATTCAATGTCAACAAGCTGTTACTACTGGGTTTACAGGGAGAGATAAGCCCTCTGGAAGGTTCTGTGCTGGGATGCAGGCATGAAGCACAATGAGAAACAAATCTTTGTCCTCCCCAGAGGATTGGGGAGGTGCAGTATTGCACTGTTCCCTCAGTTAAGTGCCAGCTGAACAGGGGCACCTACAACTGAAGCAGAAACTGATGTTTGGGTGTGTTCTGTGGTCTTTGAGGAATTGGAGCCCAGAAGCTGCTCTGTGAGGGGGGAGACATTCAGTGGCAGCAGATAAAATGTGTAATCGATTGCAGGAAAGGAGCACGATAGGAGCTGTCACGTGGCAGCAGTGTCACCAAATAACAGGGAGGGGGAGATGGGAAATAATACTGTTTTCACACACCATGTTATTAAGGAGCACTGATGGGGCTGTAGAGAAAAATGGGCTCATAGCATTTCCAGACAATAGACTGCAGAAGGCATTTGAACATCTGCTTCTCTCACACAAAGGGGGAATGTTACAGAGACGGTGTGGTGTTCAGCATGTGGGGGAAATGCTTTTGCTGTTGAAACACAAGATCTGTATCTGCTCTGATGTTTTATCTCCTTTTGCTCCTGCTGGTGCCTTTTGCTTCTCTTTTTGGCTTCATTATCATGAATGAAACTGCCAGGAGCCTTAGAAAAACTTGGGAGAGGGGATTTTATAGACCTCATGCAAATACATGGGTCTGTGCAAGGCAAATTTTGTGGAAAAATGTGCTGGAGGATCTCACTAATAAAAAATTTATTCCGTCTTGTAGGAGTCTTTCTGATGAATGTAATGGGGAGCATCTCCTAAGCATGGTCATCCCTGAAGGGACTCCAGTGTGATTGGTGCCAGCTGGTGAGATCCCCCAGTCTTGGCCATGCTGAATGGTTTTAAGAGTTTTCTAACCTGTATATAAAATTGAGTACCCCAAGTAAAAAATCTGGAAGCAGAAGGAATTAATGTATCCTATGAGCTGCCTTTAGACACTGACATTTTAAACAGAAAGTGTCCCAAAGAGGCAAAGTCAACTCGTTTCAGGGCCTCTGTTACTGCAGGAAGCAAGAGAGATAGTCCTGGTTGGCTCCTGAAAACACTGAAAGAAGTTTGAATCAATTAGCAAGGAAGTATCACTATCTGCCAAGGACTAGGTCTTGAGGGAGGAACAAGCAGCCTGTTCCTGTTGGCAGAAGTGTTCACTGTGGTCTGGAATAGAGATCTGCCTGGCAGACATCAGAGAAGGGTGTAAATGCCACAAAGGGGAGCAGCAGGGTGCTTGTCTTTGACTGCAGCAGTCTCTCCTGGAGGGGATGGGCTGACCCCAATGCTCACTGGGGTGTGGGGAGAGGGTGACTGGGCTAATTCCCAGCTGTCTGATGTAAGCCTGTAAAGAATGGCTGTATATGTCAACTCTTTTCAGGTAACTGTCAAGATTTAAAGAAAATCCCAGAGCCAAACCCTGCTAAGCCAGGGAACTGAAATGCATGATGCTGTTTTTAAATTCTTTTCTGCCTTCCTTAAATCTCCTTTCACAAGTTTAACTGCAGACTTTCTGGTCACTATCAACATCTTAGTGTGATAAAAATTTGGAAGTGAGGGAAAAGAGGGAAAGAGCACCTGTAATGAGCTGTTCTGAAATTAGTTGAATGCTTGATTATTTGTCATAGATCCCTTAGAGAACTGACAAGCAGCCTTCAACCATTAATATTTGTGTTAGAGAAAAAGGGGAGAGTGGGTGCTGGGGAAGGCAAAGATAGCAGCCTTTAAAAAGAATAAGAGAAAAGATAAGTCTAGGAACTTTGAGTTTATCTGCAGTTCAAGGGAAGGGAAAGGCAACATTAATATTGTTGGGCACTGTTCATTTCTGAGAATTTTCTTCTATCTGCATGTAAGAGCTTTTGTCAACAAGGGAGAAGATGTGGATATGGTAACTCTTCGTTTTAGTGTGGCTTTTGATAAGACCATATCTTATCTCTGCAGATAAAGCAGGGACCTTGAGTCTAAATAAAACTATTTAATGTAAGGACCCAACTTGGTGAAAAGCAGCATGTAGAAAGTGGCACTTTACCAGTCTTGCCTGGCAGATTGTCAGCTGAGGTGTGCAGTGCCTGTCCCAGCTTAGTTTTTCCTTAATGGTATGGGTAAGACTAATTGTTTGCTGATGGGTGATTTACAGTCCAGGCTGGACAAGGCTTTAAAAAGTGAGACTGGGATATTCAGAGTGATCTCTTGGGCTGGAACAAATGGGAGATAATTTAGTGAGGGCAGATGTATAGGAGAGTTTGGGAGTAGCCAGCTGTGGAGAGCAAAAGGCTAGTTTTCAAAGAAGCAGCTGAGCTTAAAAAGAATAAAAGAAACCAAATAAAATTCATTTTAAAAGCCCAGCCAAAAAATCCCCACCCCTAACAAAAGAACCTCCCAACCAATCCACAAAAAAACCCCACCAAAAACACCAACAAAAATAAAAAACCACAAAAAGCCACCAGAACCCCATTCACTGTGGGCCAACAGGGAAAAGCCAGCAGCATGCTGGCTTGGTTGGAAATATGCACTGAAAGATGGATTCAGAAGGAAATTGGTCTGTTTGTACTGTTGTGGGCTTAGCCAAAGGACTGTGAGAAGTGAGTTGGTTGAAGGGATTCTAAAATTGAAAGAAACATTGTCCTGAAATCATAACCTCAGGGGTGAGGGAGGAATTAAATAAAGATTGGTGTCTGCTTTCTCATTTTTACAGAGGAGAGGGTAGATTAGTATTTTGCATATCCAAATGTCTGTAGCAAGAGGAGAGATGATGAATGGTCTCCATGCCCACTTTGGAGAACAGAAATAGCTCCTGATTTGAATTGCAAAAAGGGAAGGATTTAGTTTAAACATTAAGAGACCTTCATAGATGCAAGGTTAAGTACAGGATAGATTAGCTGGTGGGGTCCCAGGCTTTTGAGGAGCCAGTTGAAAGCAGACTGAAAAATAATCTGTGGGGAGTGATTTAGATTTGGCTTGTGCTACCTTGGGTGGAGCAGTGGCTTGGGGATTCTCCAGGGGCTCTGCTTCCAATACAAACACAGTGTTTAAGGCCATGCTTTGACTCAAGCTTGTTAAAAGTGGCAGAAAAACTCAGTGGCTCTTGAACTGAGTCACCCACATAAACCCTGGGGTCCATGCTGTAAATGCAGAGAAAGCAAACTGTAGAGTACTCCCAGGACTCCAGGATGTGTTGCAAGCACATTTCTCTCCCTCTCAGGATTTTTCACAGAGGTGCACAGAGAGAAATGAAAGAGAAAACTATTTCTATTTCTGCTTCTTGATTTTTCTATGTGGAATGTGTTTGGAGAATTGTTTACCGGGGGTGATTGCTTGATTGGGTTCTGGTGAGGATTGTTTCAGGCCAATGCGACCCACCTGGGGCTGTGCTCTCAAGAGAGAGTCACGAGTTGTGTTAGAGTCAGAGAGAGTAGTATGTAGTTTTAGTATCTTCCTTTTTATGTAGTATATTAATGTGTATTAGCCATAGTTATAATAAAGAAATCAATCAGCCTTCTGAATTGAGTCAGACATTGTAATTTCTTCCCATTGGGTTTGCCTGCATTTACAATAAGGATGGGTGTGTGAGGGCACAGCCTGCCCCAGAAGTGCAGGTGGGTGCTGCTTTGCTGACATCCTGGGCAGTGCTCCCCTCGCACTGACCCTTGTCACTGTCCTCTCCATCGGTGTCCCTGAGCTGCCAGGTCCCAGTGCAGCTCCTGGATCCAGGGGCAGGTTGCTGTGTGTGCCTGAGGAGGAGATGCTGGCCCTGCCCCTCACACCGTGTTAACCAGGCATGCTTGGTTTGTGGCACACCAAATGGCTTGCAGGTAAAAGGCTTTACAACTCAACATTTTTCAGTTTTCCTCGTGATGCACATTCATTATC